TGTTGTGTTTGGAGGAGGTGGGGGTCATGGGAGGTGGTGTTGTGTTTAGAGGAGGTGGTGTTGTGTTTAGAGGAGGTGGTGTTGTGTTTAGAGGAGGTGGGGGTCATGGGATGTGGTGTTGTGTTTGGAGGAGGTGGGGGTCATGGGAGGTGGTGTTGTGTTTAGAGGAGGTGGGGGTCATGGGAGGTGGTGTTGTGTTTGGAGGAGGTGGGGGTCATGGGAGGTGGTGTTGTGTTTAGAGGAGGTGGGGGTCATGGGAGGTGGTGTTGTGTTTCAGCCTGGTTGTGGCTGGGCTTCTCGCTGGCCCACAGACCCTGGCGTCTGTGGTGTAGCAAGATACAGGGTTCCCGCAGCCTCCTTGAAAACTTGAATTTTGCCAGATCGGACAGAGGGTGACTGCCAGGCCCCGGGGCCCCCGGGAATTACCCGGAAATTTGAAAAAAAATAGCCAAGACCCGGGAATGCCCGGGGGAATTGAAGAAATCTCAGTAAATTGCTTTGAGAATGACCCGGGAAAATATATAAATTTCTCTAATACTTGAAAACCGAATCCAATAACGTCATTGAGTTCATTTTTGCCGGTCGCGATTGTGATATTTGAATTTTCCCGGCCTGAGAGTACGTTACACGGGAACAGGCGGCTATGGCGGCAAGCGGAAGGGGATGAGTGATGGACCCCTACCGAAGCTCGATCAAGAAAATCAAGATCTACTTTCGCTTTCGTTTCCACCCAGAAATTTGCCGGTAGTAGTCTGATAATAGTGATAACGTAACATTTGTAACATGCAGGTTGTGCATTACGAACTCACCGTGAAAATAAATCATTTGTCCTGTGCTGTCACTTGTGGAAAAAAGAAGATCAAAAGAAAAAGAAAGTATACAAGCGTCTTGTCGGGCTCGCCATCGGGACCGGTCAATGAACCTGTTCGTTCGCATCACATTGTGAGTATCGGCGTGAAGTATCGGCGTGAGGTCACCAAAGTTCATTCAAAGTCTGAGCGCTACGAAGAATAGTTCTCGGGAATGGGGGGATTTTTTACTATTTTTTTTAAGACGCACGGGTGGGAGGGGGGAGAAGGTTGAAAACAACACCGGATGGCAATAACTGAACTTGGAAGCAGAGTTTACTTTTCTGAATTTTGGCTACTACTGGATTTAGATCCAGATCTAGAGCTCTCTGCAAAGCGCGCGTTGGTGCAGGGTTTGTGGGGAATTGGGATCCGTCATACTCCAACCTTGTGAGCTGTGTTTTATTTTAAACTAAAGGGATCCCGTTTCATTTTGTGGGCAATAGTAAATGACATCATTTATTCTATATTTTTGCTTTCTGTTCAAGATTCACAGATTTTCACTGCCACTGCTATCTTGCCCTCTCACATTTCTTACACCTCTCACACTGAATAGATCTACTTGAGCCATTCATGTTATTGCTTTACTTTGAGTTTGTCTTTCACATTTATTATGTATACTTTGACACCAAAACTGGTTCTTGACAGTCGATATTCTGGCTCTAGGCCTTTTCTCGGGCTCAAAACAAGATTCATTTTTATATATATAATTATAGTGCGAATATGATGAGGGGAAAATATAAATAAGTAAAGAACAGAGTGAAATATCTAAGTCACGCAATACCCGGGTGCCACACTGACATGTTGTTGACTGGATATGATGTCCCTACATGCGCGCCTTTGTGTGTATATAATATATAAATGGAGCGTGCACTGTCATTGTTATGTAACATGTCCCTGGAAAATGGATGAGCCACCCCCCCCCCCCCTGAAAAATTGAGAAGCCGGGGTGGCAGTCACCCTGAAACAGTTTTTGTAGGAAAATCGAAACTATGATTTCTTTCGGATAAGTAAAGGCCTATCGGAAATAGGCTTTCGTTCTTGACCGAATCTTGAATGTGTAAAATTTCTCCTTGAAACCTTGAAATCTTGAATTTGGTGGGAAGTTCATGGCAGGAACCCTGAAGATAACGCTTCAATTGAAGGATGCCTGAGTTCAATTCCCGAGTGGGCAGAAAATTTTTTTTAAAGTATGTAACTCTTTTTGCTGGGATGTTGTATTCCCCTCAGCCCGTATTGGCCCTGGGATGCCTTGATAGTCGAAGCAGACTTTGTGCTGTTGAGGCTAGAGAGGTGAGCAGACTTCTCTGTTGACATCTACCTCTTGGTGCTCATATGACCTTATGCAGTTGCAAGCACTGTAAAACCTTACTAAAGCTAAACTATCTGGGTCTTTCTGCTGGGATTTTTTTATCCTTCTCAGCCCGGATTGGCCCTGACAGGCAGGGTAGGAAGCCCGCCTCCTAAAAATGATATAAAAAGTGTATCAATGGGTCCAAAGAACCACGTGACACTGTTTCCCGTTCCTCAGGTGACAACCACAGCCTGGAGACAGCTCCCAACGTGGCCAACCCCAGCATCGCTCCCAGCATCGGGGACGCCAGCCTAGGAATGACCAACAGGTGAGTACAGTAGTGCAGAGTAGTACATAACTGTCACAGTAGTGCAGAGTAGTACATAACTGTCACAGTAGTGCATAGTAGTACATAACTGTCACAGTAGTGCATAGTAGTACATAACTGTCACAGTAGTGCATAGTAGTACATAACTGTCACAGTAGTGCATTGTAGTACATAACTGTCACAGTAGTGCATAGTAGTACATAACTGTCACAGTAGTGCACAATAGTGCACAGTAGTGCATAATAGTACATAACTGTCACAGTAGTGCAGAGTAGTACATAACTGTCACAGTAGTGCAGAGTAGTACATAACTGTCACAGTAGTGCAGAGTAGTACATAACTGTCACAGTAGTGCACAGTAGTACATAACTGTCACAGTAGTGCACAGTAGTACATAACTGTCACAGTAGTGCACAGTAGTACATAACTGTCACAGTAGTGCAGAGTAGTACATAACTGTCACAGTAGTGCAGAGTAGTACATAACTGTCACAGTAGTACATTGTAGTACATAACTGTCACAGTAGGAGGCCTACATAGCTGGCAAAATGGTACATAATCGAGACCTAGAGATAAACAAAGCATTTATCAGAAACGTTATGTCCTCTATTGTCTGGTGCTGACACAGACTTGGTCCTCTATTGTCTGGTGCTGACACAGACTTGGTCCTCTGTTGTCTGGTGCTGACACAGACTTGGTCCTCTGTTGTCTGGTGCTGACACAGACTTGGTCCTCTATTGTCTGGTGCTGACACAGACTTGGTCCTCTATTGTCTGGTGCTGACACAGACTTGGTCCTCTGTTGTCTGGTGCTGACACAGACTTGGTCCTCTGTTGTCTGGTGCTGACACAGACTTGGTCCTCTGTTGTCTGGTGCTGACACAGACTTGGTCCTCTGTTGTCTGGTGCTGACACAGACTTGGTCCTCTGTTGTCTGGTGCTCACACAGGCTTGGTCCTCTGTTGTCTGGTGCTGACACAGACTTGGTCCTCTATTGTCTGGTGCTGACACAGACTTGGTCCTCTGTTGTCTGGTGCTGACACAGACTTGGTCCTCTGTTGTCTGGTGCTGACACAGACTTGGTCCTCTGTTGTCCTGTGTTGACTCAGACTTGGTCCTCTGTTGTCCTGTGTTGACACAGACTTGGTCCTCTGTTGTCCTGTGCTGACACAGACTTGCTCCTCTGATGTCCTGTGTTGACACAGACTTGGTCCTCTGTTGTCCTGTGTTGACACAGACTTGGTCCTCTGTTGTCCTGTGTTGACACAAACTTGATCCTCTGTTGTCTGGTGCTGACACAGACTTGGTCCTCTGTTGTCCTGTGTTGACAAAGACTTGGTCCTCTGTTGTCCTGTGTTGACACAGACTTGCTCCTCTGTTGTCCTGTGTTGACTCAGACTTGGTCCTCTGTTGTCCTGTGTTGACACAGACTTGGTCCTCTGTTGTCCTGTGTTGACACAGACTTGGTCCTCTGTTGTCCTGTGCTGACACAGACTTGCTCCTCTGATGTCCTGTGTTGACACAGACTTGGTCCTCTGTTGTCCTGTGTTGACACAGACTTGGTCCTCTGTTGTCCTGTGCTGACACAGACTTGCTCCTCTGATGTCCTGTGTTGACACAGACTTGGTCCTCTGTTGTCCTGTGTTGACACAGACTTGCTCCTCTGTTGTCCTGTGTTGACACAGACTTGCTCCTCTGTTGTCCTGTGTTGACTCAGACTTGGTCCTCTGTTGTCCTGTGTTGACACAGACTTGGTCCTCTGTTGTCCTGTGTTGACACAGACTTGGTCCTCTGTTGTCCTGTGTTGACACAGACTTGGTCCTCTGTTGTCCTGTGTTGACACAGACTTGGTCCTCTGTTGTCCTGTGTTGACACAGACTTGGTCCTCTGTTGTCCTGTGTTGACACAGACTTGGTCCTCTGATGTCCTGTGTTGACACAGACTTGGTCCTCTGATGTCCTGTGTTGACACAGACTTGCTCCTCACAGACTTGCTGTTGCTGAAGAAAACTTGTGGACTTTCCAGACAGGATTTGCCAACAGTTATGAGAAGGAAGCTGACAACTCAGGTGGAAAGATCTTCCACTGTACATTGCTGACATTGTGGCTGCCCGCCTCCTGAGTGATCTAACTTGTGTTGATGGGGATGTAAAAACACTGAAATCTTAGTTATAAAAAAAAATAGTTCAGAAAAACTAATGGTTGGCGGGTGCTCTGGCGTTGTTTGCTCCTTCTTTCCTATAAAACATCTATCCTCCTTTAGCTCTCCTTTTTTATTTGTGTATGTTACTCTCTTGTAACCACTGTAATCTTAGGCACTTCTTTGACTTAATTGTGTTGCAAGTGCCGTAAAACTCTTACTAAAACTAAGCTTTCTCTCCTCCTCCTTATTTGTGTATGTTAGTCTGTGTAACACCTTTGATGTCCGGTATTTCTATGATCTGATTGTGTTGCAAGTGGCGTAAAACTCTTGACTAACCCAAACTGTCCCCTATGTGTTGCAAGTGGCGTAAAACTCTTGACTAACCCAAACTGTCCCCTATGTGTTGCAAGTGACGTAAAACTCTTGACTAACCTAAACTGTCCCCTACAGCCTGAGTGCCAGTGGCAGCCACATGGAGAGAGCGGGCGTGCTAAGAGACGACAGCGACCGCGACTCCTCCAGCCACCGCGCCATCGCCGGGAACAGCATCAACGGCAGCCTCTGTAGCGCCACCTACAGCGCTCAGCATCACAAGTGAGTGCACGGGGGGTTGGTGGGTGCTCTGGTCTGGTTGGCTCCTTCTTGCCTATCAAACATCTGTCGTCCTGATCTCTTCTCCTTTTTTGTGTTTGTTACTCTCTTGTAACACCTCTAATCATAGCGCTAGTTCTGGTCAGTCCAACCCCAGTTGTGGTGACTGTCCTTCACCTTTAATTACTTTAAAAGTTACTACGCAACGTCCGTCAAACTTGGCACGAAACGAAACCAGTGGCAAAACTAGCACTGGAGTCCGTTCCTCTACATGTCACGTCTCTGGAAATTTTTCGTAAAATCGAATTCATACCAATTTTTTTAAATCATAAAAATTAAAGTATTAGACTTGGACAACTTTAGTTTTTTGTATAAGGAATTAAAGCTTGAATGTAACTTTACTGTGTCAAAAAATATTACAATAGGGTAATTCTGAGAGTTGTGGTGGCGTTTTGAAATACCCCCAAAAACGCCAGTATTCATCGTTAGTGACTGGTGAAAGGGCCCAGTAGTCGGTGAGTTGAAAAGTCAAATAAGTTCACTTTGACTTGGGTGTGTTACTAGAGGGTGTGTGAGTGTGGGCTTCCTGTGACGTTACAGCGGTACGTGGGACCGGTGTGGCGGGTGGGTTCTCTGTCCTGTTGTTGTTGTTGTTGACTGGAGGTGATTGGTGGGTTCTCTGTCCTGTTGTTGTTGTTGTTGTTGTTGTTGTTGACTGGAGGTGATTGGTGGGTTCTCTGTCCTGTTGTTGTTGTTGTTGTTGTTGTTGTTGTCAGGCTGGAGGTGATTGGTGGGTTCTCTGTCCTGTTGTTGTTGTTGTTGTTGTTGTTGACTGGAGGTGATTGGTGGGTTCTCTGTCCTGTTGTTGTTGTTGTTGTTGTTGTTGACTGGAGGTGATTGGTGGGTTCTCTGTCCTGTTGTTGTTGTTGTTGTTGTTGTCAGGCTGGAGGTGATTGGTGGGTTCTCTGTCCTGTTGTTGTTGTTGTTGTTGTTGTTGACTGGAGGTGATTGGTGGGTTCTCTGTCCTGTTGTTGTTGTTGTTGTTGTTGTTGTTGTTGTTGACTGGAGGTGATTGGTGGGTTCTCTGTCCTGTTGTTGTTGTTGTTGTTGTTGTTGTTGTTGTTGTTGTCAGGCTTGAGGTGATTGGTGGGTTCCGTGTCATATTGTGTGTTATTGTTGTGTCGACAGACTAGAGATGTCTTAATTGTGTGTGGTTGTTGTGTCGACAGGCTAGAGGTGTCATATTGTATGTGGTTGTTGTGTCGACAGACTAGAGGTGCGAGCAGACGTGTCGGAGCACACGGGCCAGTGTGAGCGGTCGAGTGTCGGCGGAGAGTCGTACAACGTGTCGCTCACAGACGACGCTAGTACCAGGGCGCTGGCCGGGTCGATCATCTCTCCCAAGTAAGATGTTCTTTCTCACACACACACACACACACACACACACACACACACACACACACACACACACACACACACACACACACCCATCATCTCACCAAAATAAGCTGTAAACTTCCTTGTTACACCTCTAATCCTCAGCACTTGTATGACCTAATTGTTGTTGTGAGTACTGTAAAACTTTTACTTGACGGAAACCTCTCTCGTGATATCCCCAATCTTTGACAAAGTCTGACTTATGTGTGTTGTAAGTGCTGTAAACCTAATAATAATAATAGATAGCATTTGTATAGCGCATTTCCCCGCTCAACAGCAGGCTCTATGCGCTTTACACTATATTATTACCCCAGCAGACCATAGAACACTCCGAAACATTCTCAGCTTCCCGGGAAGCATACAGTGCAAGCAGCTGATTAAGCGCTCAAACACTAACAAACTGACAAGATCTTTCGCTTTCTATAGCCGGGTACCCATTCCCACCTGGATGACGTGAGGAAAACTCGTGTAAAGTGCCTTTCCCAAGGACACAACGTCGGGTCCCTGGCGGGATTCGAACCCACAACTTTACGGTTGCGAGTCCGAGAGCCTAACCACTAGGCCACCGACGCCACCTCTCTCGTGATATCCCCAATCTTTGACAGTTGTCTGACTTATGTGTGTTGCACATGCTGTAAAACTCTTGACTGAGGGAGTGGTTGGCGGGTGCTCTGGTGTGGTTTGCTTCTTCTTTCCTATCAAACATTTATCATCCTCACCTCTCCTCCTTTTTTATGTTTGTTACTCTCTTGTAACACCTCAAATCTTCGACACTTACATGATCTTATTGTGTTGCAAGTACCGTAAACCGCTTACTTAAACAAACATCTATCGTCCTTATCTCTCTTCATTCTTTTTTGTGTTTTATTCTCTTGTAACACGTCTATTCGTCGCCACTTATATGCAGGGATGCCAAATCTCAGGTTTTTCAGGCTTTTTCATGGGATTTAAAAAAAAATCATTTGGCATCCCTGAAGAAGAAAGCCACTGACATAAGGTCCTTCTTCTCAAGACAGACATAATATGACTGGAATTGGTGAGACAAAGTCCCCATACCCTTACAAGGGAAAGGGGGAGGGGTAAGAGAGTTGTTTTTGTGTGCTCATTGAAAAGTGTTACAAGGTTTGTGTTGGGTGAGATGTGATGCTCCGCTCATTTCCAGATTTTTAAAAAAAAATCATTTGGCATCCCTGTATATGACCTTATCTGTGTTGCACGTTTGTAAAACTGCCTGACCCCTGACCTCTCTGTGCTGTAAACCTGTGTCTGACCCCTGACCTCTGTGTGCTGTAACCCTGTGTCTGACCCTTGACCTCTGTGTGCTGTAACCCTATGTCTGACCAATGACCTGTGTGCTGTAAACCTGTGTCTGACCCCTGACCTGTGTGCTGTAACCCTGTGTCTGACCCCTGACCTGTGTGCTGTAACCCTGTGTCTGACCCCTGACCTGTGTGCTGTAACCCTGTGTCTGACCCCTGACCTGTGTGCTGTAGACCTGTGTGCTGTAACCCTGTGTCTGACCCCTGACCTGTGTGCTGTAACCCTGTCTGACCCCTGACCTTTGTGTGCTGTAACCCTGTGTCTGACCCCTGACCTGTGTGCTGTAACCCTGTGTCTGACCCCTGCTCTGTGTGCTGTAACCCTGTGTCTGACCCCTGACCTGCCTGTGTGCTGTAACCCTGTGTCTGACCCCTGACCTGTGTCTGACCCCTGACCTGTGTGCTGTCCCCAGGGACAAGGATGGCATCTCCCTGTGCTCGCGACACTTCGAGGCGCCGCTGGTCTACCCGGAGGAGTCGGGCAAGGAGGGGGAGGGGGAGGCATACGGGGGGAGCGGCGGGGGGCGGGGGAGCTCATCCTGCCCCACCTCCCCACACCTGCGCAAGGCCAGTCCCGCCCCCTCGGAGGAGGCGCGGAGTGGGCGCAGCAAGAAGTGTACGCGCTTCATGGACCAGGTGTCGGAGATCGAGTCCCGCGGGGACTGTGTCAGCCTGGGCTCTGTCCTCAGCACACACAGCGAGAGCAGCAGCAGCGGGGGCTCTCCGTCCTGTGAGGGGGTCGTCGCCACGGTGACCGTGACTTCCTCCGTGGTGGGCGGCGGGGGGGCGTGCTCCAGTCTGTCGCTGGCCGTGTCCCCAAGCGAGGAGGACGAGGAGAAGGAGGAGATCGGTGGAGGGGCGGCCGCCGCCCTGGCCAGTTGTGAGAGTCTACTGAGCGAGGGCCGGGCGGCCAACGGGGCCATACGCAGAACCACCAGTCTGGGCAACGGCTGTGGAGTGAAGGCTGAGTCGACCAGCGTGTTGCTAGACGGGGCGGACTCGCGGCGCTGCGAGATGGGAGGCGCCCGCCGCAAGAGTGAACGCATGTACCGGGACGAGTTGAGCTCTGTGGGCCGTCCGTTCATGGGGCCGCACAAGAAGGGTGGCGGGCCGCGCGACAAGGAGCACCGGTCGCAGCCAGGCAATCTGTCAGACATCTCGGAAATGAAGGGCATGCCCGCCTTGCACACCGCCGCCTGCTCCGATCTCCTGGCCGTGGTGGACGCCAGCTGTGACAACGTGTTCCTGGACCGCCCCGCACACACCACCGCTCGCATACCCTCCTCCTCCTCCTCCTCCTCCTCCTCCTCTTCCGACCAGCCCACAGACTCCCATCCCCATGGCGTGCAACGTAGAGCGTCCTCCCCCGGGGAACCAACGTCAGCAAGTTCGTCGCGAGAGCCGTTGTATCCCGCCCTGACCCGCCCGGACTCCCACAGTAACGACGGGCACACGTGTACGCGGGACGATGCGTTTGTGAGTGCGTCGTCGTGCGACGTCAGTGTGTCAGACATGAAGATCGACCTTCTGGACGGCCCGGATGGTCATCTGTCACCGCCCCCGGCCCCAGAGGCGGCCTCTGTCCTGGCGACGTCGTCGGAGGACAACACCGGCCCGTGTGGTGCTGAGGTGACAGCGGGCGAGTTTGTGGGCGGGGCGAGCGTCCGTCTGTGCCAGCTATCCGCCCTGGTACACGAGGCGTCGGCCGCCGGCCCGACAGACACGGCCCAAGCGGGGGCCAGAGACTGGTGCTTTTCTCGCCGGACTAACATCGGCCAGGTGTCAGCCCGCCCGGCTGTGCCCGACGTGGAGCGCCCTGTCAGCCAGCCGGGGCCGGTCGCCGTGGAAACAGACGCTAGTCGGGTGACCTCTGCCCCGACCCCCTCGGACCGGCCGGGCTCACAGAACTGTGTGGGTCGGAGCAATTCGTTGAACGCGTCGACCGTCGCCGCCAAGAGAACAAACTGTCGCACCAACTGTCATTCCAGGCCTCCCTGCCAGCACCCGCACACAGACCCGCACACTGCCCCACACACAGCCACACACACGGACCCACACACAGACCCGCACATTTCTTTGCCCGTCGCACAGGGCCTGCCCCCCACCACCCACACAACCAACATTTCCTTCTCTCCATCCGACCAGGAACATTGGCCCTCAGACACGGAGGAAATGTGACAAAATACTTCACAACTTTACAAGAAATGTAACAAAATACTTCACAACTCTACAAGAAATGTAACAGAAATAGTTAACGACTCAACAAAAAATGGAAGAGCAGAAGAAAGGAATGTGGACTTGTTCCGCCCGTCAAGAGGAAGTCATCTGTCCCGCGACTGGCTCACGCCCGGCAATCTGGAACTGGAGAACCTTAGTACGTTGGAGAACCTAACTATGTACACGCTGCAGGGAGACATGTCCCACATCGCCGAAGTTTCGGAACAAACAGTGGGTGCAGTAAGTTCTAGACAAACAGTGGGTGAAGTAAGATCTAGACAGTTGGTGAAGTAAGTTCTAGACAAACAGTCGGTGAAGTAAGTTCTAGACAGTCGGTGAAGTAAGTTCTAGACAAACAGTGGGTGAAGTAAGTTCTAGACAGTGGGTGAAGTAAGTTCTAGACAGTGGGTGAAGTAAGTTCTAGACAAACAGTGGGTGAAGTAAGTTCTAGACAAACAGTGGGTGAAGTAAGTTCTAGACA